ATTTATTTCAATGAGTAAAAAAAATAATAAAATCAATTTATTATTATTATTTTATTATCTTAGTTCAACTAATTGATATCAACAATCATTAAAACAAATTATCTTTTTCATTTTATTTTCATAAACAATCTTCATTAAATATACTGAATTATTTTATTTTATTTAACATTTTCAATCGATTTTTCTTCTACTCATCAATGTTCGATTTTGTTATTTGGGAAAAAAAAACATATTTTGTTCAATTAAAATTTTTTATATTTATTAGAAATATTTCTCATTTAGAAAATATATTCATTTGTAATCAATATTTAAAAAAAAAACTATTTCTACAAGTATAAAATCATATTAGAATTATGATAAACGATAATAGAACTTCGAATATTATTTATTTAAAATAATTTCAAGACTGATTAAACAGAATATAAAAATATTTCCAGAGAGATTTTATTTTCCTAATAAATTAAAAATATCAATTTTTCTTTTTTAATTTCTAAGTTTAAAGAAAATAAAAAACAAACAAAAATTTTTTCTAACATAAAAATAAGATTTTATTAATGATTTATTAATTAGATTATCTAACAAGACATGTTTCATAAGCAATAAATCAATTTTCAATGATGATTATGTAGATTATCTTGACTCTAATCATCAATGCATACATCAATCAGAAGTTCGAACATTTTGTTTATTTTTATGAAAATATAAGAGTTTGACTAAATTTTTTTAAACTTGATTTTAGTCATTAATCTTGAAAAAGTAACGAAGAATCATTTTATAAATTTAACTTGTAACATAGCATATAGATGAATTTTAACGAGATTATATTTATATCTCATTGATTAACTTAATCTCGGAAATCTGAACATCGAATCTGCTCTTTTATATGAATTGATGTTAAACAAACACTTTTTCTCATAGTTATATTTTAAAATAGAAACAAACAAAAAGACAAAACTTTTCGAATAAATTCTTCTTGTTAATGTTTGTCTCTTTATAAAGTTTAATATCAAAATTTTAAATTGAAGTTTTATTCTATTTATTAGGAATTTTTCTCACATTTTAAAAAATGTTCATATAAGGAATCATATTTAGAAAATTTTCTAAATCCATGTTATTGTAAATTTAATTAAAGTTCTTGACTTTTTTTAATCTAAAATCATTGTATAGTTCGATTTTTGTTCACAATTCAGTTAAAAAAACTAATAAATTATTCTATAAAAATGACGATTAAACTTAAATATATTATTGTCGAATGTTTTTTATTAGAAAATATTTAAAAAAGTCCATGAAATAATATTTATTCGGTATAGAATCAAAAAATTTTGTTGATTATTTTTAGCTTTAATATCTTAATAACTAATTAAATGATTTATGTCTCAATTTACATTAGATACGAAATAAAAATGTGTCAATTATAAGATTCTACTAAACTTGAAGTTTTTATCGAAAGCAAACTATTTCTTATGTTGTCATCTAATTAATATGAGAGAAAAAAATATGTATATTTCAAAGAATTTTCTCATGAAAAAAATCGATAAATGTATTTGAAATAATCATATTGATTATATTTTAAATCAGTGATAAATTATATTGAAACTCACTTGAATTTGCATCGAAAAATACAAAAAATATAATTATTTTGTATTTGTCGTTGTTTTTCTTAATGAAGATACCTGAACGTCAATATACAAAAACATTATAATCGATTTTCTATCATGATAATAATTCATATTTCTATTCAATAAATCACTATCATCAATGGAACTTTTTTTTCCCTTGAGAATATCTCACTTAGAATTTATTTCTAGATTTATGATGGAATCCGTCCTAATCAAATAAATATACAGAAAAAAAGAAAGTCAACAATTCGATGTCGTTGAGTTCATTCTCCGAGTTCTTCCATTGGATAAAACATTCAATTAGGATTGTTATTCTCTAGTCATTTTTATTAATAGATTATAGATAAACAGTTCGGAAATAGTTTCTTCCGTCTTTACAATTTAATTCGTCGAACTAAACTAATTTCATTAATAGATCGATGTACAACATTTATAATAGAAATTCAAAATAAATTATTTTTCGTTAGGTTGTTTACATGTAACGTTCATCGAGAATCAATTCATTCGACTCTAGACTGTGGGGATAGCGATATACATATATGCGCATCTTGATATAAATATGCTTTAAGTGAAGCATTAGATAAGTGCGACAGACGGCTTGACATGTAACAGCGACTCTCTTACAAAACTGTTTTTTTCCGGAATATAAAATTCATTTTTTTATGTTCATACAGAAAAAACTATCGTTAAATATGTTGCTTGTTGTTTTTATACTGTTCCTAACACTATCTTTAATCTTAAAATAATAATTAAGTACAGTGAATGAATAATTCTTTTTTGTCTTATATTAATATATGTCGAATTACTGGAATTCTATCAATAACATGCAGTCACAAATAGTAGTAAATTGAGTTTAGAGATTTTATGGTCGAACTTTCAATATTTTAAATAAAAAACTTGAAATTGAAAATGATTCTAAGTTTCATCATTCATATTATTCTATGTTTTCTTTATGTTTGGGATGAAACTTATGTTACATATATACTAATCGATAAACAAACACTAGAAATGCATAGAGTTATTTACAATTACTTATATTAACGCTATTTCTATTGCGAAAAATATTATCATTGGATTATTCAAGAAATGAGATTTTATTTAAGTAGTTTATCCTAGTTTTATGTCAACACTCGTTTTCTAACTCTTACTAATTATTGCAATATATCTTTATGCATATATCATTGAACAATGGATTGAAAGATTCATCAGCTTAACTACAATGATCGTCGTTTCTAAAAACATCTGAGATGAAACAAACATGCTCATGAACGACCATAAATCATCGTATAATGATGCATCACATGACTTAGTATTACGCTGATATTTCTTAATATCATATACAGAGCAATGCTATCGTTTACGAAGTTCGTACTTGAAGAAAGCGTACAATTTCTGTTTGACTCAGTATCTCTCCGTAAACGGCCGTATTTTTCTGTATTGCATACAAAGAAGCACGGTCATATGTGATGCAGTTTGGAGTGTATACACCTGTTTCACAGTTTACACGGATTTCATAGTTATCATCCTTTGGATACTACTCCAACGTCAACATGAATCCTAATAATTAGGTACCAATTGTGATTCTACACACTCATTCATACCACAAATGCTAGTTAATATTCATTTATACAGTATTTGGCAACTATAATCATTAGTGTCGTAGTTATTAGTCATGATAATTTCTGTAGTAGCTATGGTCATCTGAGCTACAGCAATGGTCATTGAAGTTCACATTTTCTTCATTTTAGTTAGATAAAAGAAAAATGCGGAGAATCAGAATCTAAGTTCAGTTTTCTTTTACGAAAACTCTTAAATAAATATACACAAAACACTGACTTGGCAAACGTTTTGTCTTTTATTGTCCCATCATCTCAAAATTTGGTTTCCTTTTAACAGGTATATATTGACCAACCTCGAGCGCTTGTGAAAGGAAGATGATCAGTATGAACAACTTCTATAAAAACCAAATTCCACACTGCATGAAAATCTTGAATAGATATGGGCGACAAGGTTATGAAAAAGACATATATTCTCGTTGTCTTATTATCTAGCGAATTTTGTGGCTTGAATACCTAGTAACGAGTTTCACCTTCTTGTATGAACTGTAAACCCTTGTTTCCTATGCACTGCTTACTTCCATTGAAAAGATCAAGTTCCTGTTATACTCTAGAGCTGCGATAACGGCATATCAGATGTAAGCTGTTTCGTTAGGTGAAAAGTTTAATATCTCAATCAAGAAAGTTGATTATGAGCTTACTATAAACTTTTGAATTCATCGTGAGTAGAACCATCAAATGGAATATCTTTCACGACAAAGTGCTGATGCATACTTGGAACAAGTTACAAAAGATGTAGTCTGCTGCCTACAAGGTTATTTCTTCAATACTATGTTGGACATCACATTTTTCTTTGCTAGTGTTTTCTTCGATCTTAAAAGAGAAATCATTCATTTGATCTAATAGAGCTGCATCGATTTCTGTTAAAAATTATTAAAAAATTTGATAGAATAGGATAAAAATGTATTTATACATTCAGAATATTGCAACAGAAATCTTATTTCTTTTTAGCAAAGTGTAGAGAAAACAAGTCTTTTTCACACTTTCAATGGTGCCCTGCTAAAAATATTCAACTGTCTTTTTTATACTAACACTTGTTTCAATTGTTTTCACTTCGATTCTATAAAAAGAAAAAAATTTGCTGGTATGTGTGTCAAATCTTATAATCGCCCAGTTCAAAACTGAAATTCTAATTTTGGCTAGCACTTTATTGAACAATATTAAAATTCTAACTTTGACTGGATAAATTTTAAATCAGATTGAAGTTTAATCTTAACAGAAACATATTGATTTGGTCATCTTTGCTGTGCTAGAAGCACTAGCAATGAGATCATATTCGAAAAGAGTACAAGGATTTGATCTAATGTATAACTTTTGACTTGTTAGAACTACATCCTATTCAGTGGCTTGAAAAATCAAAAAAACTTCATGATTTTCGTAAATTTCATGTTAAAAACATGAAAAAAATGGTATGTCCGTTTCATCATCGAAAATATCATTTTTTCATGTTTTTGACATAAAATTTATGAAAGTTATGAAATTTTTTTGATTTTTCAAATCACTGAATAATGAATCAAAAGTGGGCATATATTTTATTTAAAAACTTTTCTGTCACTCTTTGTCATACATATGTTAGTGTTTATCGTTACTTACAAATGTTAAATTCTTCTTCAAGATTTGGTTTAAGTTTATTTTTGATCAATATACCTGCTTTATCGCCATCATTAGTAAGTGTATAATATTTCAAAATGTTTATTCCAAGTATGCACAAACTTCCTTAATTAAAACATACTATAACATTGTAAATATGTTCATTAATAATGACTTAAATTTTAGTTAATTTTTGTCGTTGTATACCAACATCTATTTCAATATCAATATGAACTGCATTAATAAGGACTGGACCCATATCTTTTGGTATACAAGAAATCGTCCCTCCTATGCCTATTAAAAATGGACAATCAACTTGACTTTCGATGGCGTCTTGATTCCAAAATGTGACTTTCAATTGAGAAGTTATCAAACCATAACCGTTGCTGGTACAATGTAAATGTTGAACAAAATATTGACCATCCCGAACTAACAATAGATTAACAAGTTGAAATTCATCTGTTACATTTGTTTTATAATGAGGAATCATGGACACCAACTTAAAACTGCTATTGTCTTGAGCCACAACTTCTCCATTTTTAATCACAATATATAAACATCTTTGGATATGTCAAATTCTGTACCGATCAAGGTCGGATATTTTTTACCTGTAGCAACAAACGTTTGGTATGTCATTATTTATACAAATCTGCAACGAAAAAATCAAAAAAAATGAAGCAAAATAAAAAAATACAGTAGTTTCTGGATCAGAAACGAACACATGAATATCCATCAGTCAAACTAAAAAAAGGCGAATACATGAACCAACGAAGTTCTATTAACTGTGAACTTGAAATCAATCCACTTGATAATATGTCCCAGGAGGATCATTCCGGCCATCGAAAACGGCGTCTTATCCGGCCTGAAATGGCTATAGAACGGCGAATTACTGCATTAATTTTAGCCTTATTTCACCGTAATCCGTCATATCGTATTATGAGTGGTTTCTATCGCCAGAAAACGGGCGTCGTTTTTTTCCGGTTTTGCTTCCGTAACTTGGTATGGCGGATTAGGGCGCTGTTTTATAGCCGTTTCAGGCCGTTTACGACGTCGTTTTATTGGACCTAGGGTTATGAGTGAGCATTCAGCTCTCTTGGATGTTCCCGTAGCTTGCTGAATCACACACACAAAATCACCACTGCATTAAAAATTACGTATGACTCTAAAATAAGAAAGAGGACGTTCCATATCGCGTATCAAAGAAATTGTAACTCATGAAGAATTTGTTAGATTGTCGATGGTATAAAAGTATGAATAAATAGAATGCCATCTATCGTTGAACGACCTTTACCTGTAGAGTCTCATTTATTGATACAAATTGAAAAAAAAAGATGGCTGATTCATTGACTGAACTCATTCATTTCAGATTGTTTTAGTTGTTAGTTTTTTTTTTTGATCTAACAACAATGTTAATATTATTATTTGGGTTGTCTTTTTTACCTTTAACTGGTTTGTTTAATTAATAAATATAAAAATAAAATAAAATAAAATTCTTGTGTAGTTGGAATAGGTGGATGTACATTTGATCGACCTCTATTGGGTGAATATTATTCATATGAAAATGGCCTTGAAGCTCACTCATCATTTAAAGAAAATGGAGATATTGATAGACTTTTTTATCGTCGAGAATCAGGTGCTGGTGCAACTAGAAAAGATAGTGGAGGTTTTTTAGTTAATAGAGATATTGGAGAATGTTTTCAATTAACTCTTAAACTCAATTATTATGAACTTATTTATCGTGACAAGTATTTTTTTAAATTTGATTTTCGAATTTTATTAACGAAAAAATTTTTTTTCAAGGTCTCAATCTTGTTTTCAATGTTATCAAATGTTTAATCGAACAAAAAATATAATTCAAATAAGAAAAAGTACTTTGAAAAAAAATACAAAATATTGTTTTAATTAATTAATTTATTCTTTTTAGGTTCATGTGGAGAAACAACTTCCTTAGTAACAAATCAAATGAATTTCGATGAATTATGTCGAAGCATTGATGAACAAAGTGAATTTATAACACTTTTTTGTAAGTTTTTATTCAATTTATTTATAAAAAAAAGAAATAAATTTAAATTAAATATTAGCAAAAAGTTATTCAGCCGAAGAATGTCGTGCAACAATCTATGGAACATATCATTTTACATATGAATTTCGTGAAGGTGGTATTGGCATTTGTGATAATCCAACATCACGTTTAATATCTTGTCCTGATCCTGGAACTCCATTTGAATCAATAAATCAACGTTTTAGAATGAAATATGGATATTGTAAATATTTAACATCTTCATTTGATGCTGATCAATTAAATCAATGTCTTGGATCATGGTTAACTAATGATGGAAATATAATAACTGCTTTTGCTAATGAACGTGTTGGATCAGAACGTTGGTATGATAAATTTCGTTGTATGTTAACACGAAAAGATCAACCACAATGGTTTGCTAAATCTTTATTTGCTGAATGCTCTTCTTTATCAAGTCCAACTGATGGACCAGAAAAAGTTATTATTACACCAATCATTCCAGAAGAAGTAAGTCACATCTTTTTCCTTTCTTTATTTTTCAAAGTAGATTAATTAAGTTAGTCATTTTTTAAAATTGAGGCTCTCTCTCTCTCTCTCTGCAGAGTTAAAATTATTCCAATAGATATCATTTGTTTATTTAATAAAGAAGTCCTTTGCCATTAGAATTTAATGTGAAATAATATTTTCATATCGTTTAATAATTAATTAATGTGTTTTTGTTTGTTTTAGCCAATAGCTTCATGTTATTTTCCAAGTAATTTAACTGGTCAATGGATCAATACAGCAAATGTAAATGCTCGTGTATTAATAAATTCAACACATATACATGAAATAGCTAAAGTTAATAATCGTGGTTGGTTAAGAGAAACTTATTATGTTTGTCAACAAACATCTCGTAGTCAATATTTAGTTAAATCTGTTACTAAAGGAGAATGTTTTTCATATTATATTTGTTTTGATTTTAA